CTTTCTTTCTTTCTTTCTTTCTTTCTTTCTTTCTTTCTTTCTTTCTTTCTTTCTTTCTTTCTTTCTTTCTTCTTTCTTCTCTCTTTCTTTCGTAGCTGGCCCATCTCACCCTCAGGGCAGGGCTGGCACTGCATGTGGTGTCTGGGATCCAACCACGGTCCCTGCACTTGCCTAAGCTTGCCTAAGCTGGCGCTTAAGTTCGCTGAGCTGTCTCACTGGCTCCATCAGGCAGGTTTTCTTCTGGAGGGTTAGCAAAGGATGAGGGGTAGCTGCCCAATTCATAACAGCCCATCCTTCTGCTGTCCATTCTCAGGTGCTGCTGGGGGCACAGAGGCCCCTTCAGAGAGTACTCTGAGAAAAGGCCAGCTGGCAGGATGGGAGGCTCAAAAGAGTAGGAATTGGAATTCTCATTTCACAGAGGAGATAACAGATCAAGGAAAAGGCAGATTCACTCAAGCCAGGAGGTCAGGGCTAGAATTTGTATTTTATCTCATTACATTTATTTATTTATTTTTTAGGACTTAAATCACAAATCAAGTCTGAAGTGCTTATCCTTTCCATTCCATAGAGCAGAGGCATTGAGTTGAGAAATGAGGAAAGGAAATTGGAGACAGAGAGGCACAGACAAAAGCATGGAGGCATAAGACAGCCTGTGGATGATGTGTTCGGGGTCTCTTGAGGGATGGAGTGGGAGCTGGAAAAGACTGAAGTTTGGGCCCAGTCATGAGTAGATTTGAATGACAAGGTGGGAGTTGGAGGGACCTCCTTTAGAGAAAGTCGTTAACCCTGACTGAGGTACAGGGATCGTCCCCTGCCATACAGACCTGACCTTCCAGAGCTGTAGGCCCAGATACAAATCAGCACTAATGAATACCAATTTCAGCACTGACCAATATATTAAAAAGAGAGCAGTCACAGTCAGATGCCAAGTGGAGTTCTGTTTTAAACTGGTCAGAGGGACCTTTTTTGCAATATTTGAATTGAAGTGTGATCAATGAGAAGCATCTACCTATGTCAAAATTCTTAGAAAAATATCCCAGGCAGAGGGACCAGCCAGTTCAGAAGCTCCAAGGCCAGAGGGAAGGCTGCTGTGGCCACAGCTTAGTTAGCTCACAGGGAAGGGCAGATGTGTTGGAGCCCTGAGAAAGAATCCACTGGGAGCCAAGATAGTGGGAAGCTGAGTGGGTTTTGAGATCATGAAGGTAGGAAAGAAGAAATAGACTTGTGAGAAATAGACAGTGACTATCCTAGGACAGGCTATGGGGGCCTTGGCTGGGCCAGCTGGGATGGGGTGAACATAGGGGTGCTGATGTTTCTAGAGCCAGGGCAGACGGCATGATACCTAAGGATGACCTGGTCAGATCAGCTTCTTCTCTGGATGGAAGGAACGACCTTGGCTCAGACAGAGGTCACTCCTGATAGCCCCTTAGGAGAGGAGTGGGACAGAGTAGACCCTGCACTGACCCCATGGTGTCAGGGCTGTCTGGGCCCAGCTATTCCTGCTCCTCTGGTCTTGCGACATTGTGACCAGCTAGAATTTATTAACTAGAAACCTGGTGTCGTAATCTCTGCACACAGACCTGGGGAGACTCCAAATAGTATTTTCCCCCAAATTGTGAAAGGTGCCCCTTCCCTGTACTCCCCTTCCTTGGTAGGAGTGGGCAGGGGTCAAAGATGACTGTATTTCTTCTTTCAGGCTTATCTGGGTGCTATCTTATTTGGAAAAGAAGGCCCCACCACATAATGTTTACCTCTAAAGGTGTCCTCTTTGTGTCCCTGTGAGGTCTGTGTGACCTTGACGTGCTTGCTTTCTCTCCCCAAGCTATCATTTTCTTATCAGTCAGTGCAACAGAGACCACCAGGCTATAGCAGCATGAGGATGGAGAGGGTCATGTGCAGGGTGAGTGTCATCTCCAAGAGACAGGATGACAGACACTGCTGCCTGGTGCCTGGGCTCAAATCTGCTTGCGGACAGCAAATAACCTCAGGCCTGCACCAAATTTCTTTGTTTCCTGATGCTCAGTTTCCCTAGCTGAAAAATGGGTCCAGTAACAGTTTCCACTTGATAGGAGGAAGCATGTTCACGTAATCAAATGTTGAGCACAGTGCAGGAATTGCTTACTCCAGAATGCTGAGAGCTCTCTCATTATGCCTGAGGTACCTCCTGCATTGCTGAGGACCTGGGCAAAGGCCTGCCTCCCTCGGATGACTGATGTGTTCACCTGGAAGCTTCTGCTCACCTCCAATGGCACCATATGGCCTGGGACTGGGTGCCACAGGGTGTTGGGGTGGTCCATACATTGGACCCCTGCGCTGGGGCCTGTCTGCTTTGACAGTCACCATAATGCCTCATCCCCCACTGCTTCCTGCCTCTTCAAAACTAACTTGTCTGTTCTGAGCCCTTTCAGAGGTGCCACTGTTTCATCATCCTGGTCCTCCCTGATTCTGAGTTCCTTTCTCCTAGCCAAGGTCCCTGTCCTTCTACATGGCTGTCTCCCTGCTGGATCTGCACACCCCACTGTTCCCCTCATTCTCTCTCCTCCCTCTTTCTAACCTCTCTGTTTCCTTTTTTGAACCAGAAAGCCCTTGGGGTTTCCTTGTGGCTTCTCTGGGAGATTGAAGTCATAGCTCCAGCCCAAGCCCCTCGCAGACTACAAAGACAAGGGCCTGCCATCTCTCTTCTTGGCCTATTCATCAGGGCATCATGCCTCTGGCAAAGGCCCTGAGACCTACAGCCCAGCAGAGGGGCAGGAGGGTAATGACATGGGCTCTGGGTATGGTGTTGGCAGGAGCGTTAGTGTAACCATTTGGGACCAAACCCCAGCTGTCTCCAGAGGGCTGAACCCAAGGATTTTCACAGCTCCCCTGTTCTGACCTTCCCCCTTCCACAGCCATCCTGTACATCCTGCCAGACCCTAGTCTGTGGTCTGGATAGAGGTAGCCCACCCCTGTAATCACTAGCCACAGCTATTCTGGGCCTCTCTCTGGTGCCTGTTCCCACTTATCCTCCCCTGAGGTCTGTTATTGTACCCACTTTGCTGAAGATTGTGGTCTGGCCAGGAAATGAGAGGCCTTGGGTATGGGGTGGTGTTTTTGGAAAGTCGGGAGTCTGAGCAGTAGTACCCTGGGGTTCCTGGGGTTCGGGAGTCTCTGAGCAGTAGTGCCTCAGGCTGCTTGTTGGTCACTGCAGGCCGTTTCTCCCAATCCTTGATCACAGAGCTGGGCTGGTAGATACCAGCTCTAGCTCCGTTACTAGCTGTGGCCCTGAGGAGAAACTTTTACTGGTGATGCCCAACCACAGGAACACTGATCATCAGCAAAATGGCAAGAGGGACCTATTAATTCTCCTGGTGGTGAGAGG